ATTTTTCAGCTGTGAGTTAGGAGTCAGGGTCGAGGAGGCTGACAAGAGATCCTGTGTTGAAAGAGACCGAGAAGAGCTCATAAGCGCTAATACAACTTTTCAATCCAATTTCTAGCTGCTATAGCTTAGATTCGTTTACTCGAATTCTACCTCTCAGTTCAGTAAGGTGTGTTGGGTCTGTGGTGTGGTAGTGGTCATTCCCTTGTTACTAAGAGAGTCATCCGAACTTATCAAATAGGAATAGCATAATAGTTAACGATGGGGCGCTATCGCTAGATTCGGAGGCATCCTTTTGAACTTAGCCTAGGGATGGGCAGGAGCTTTCGAGAAAATGAAAACTGCTCACGCACCTTGGAGTCTCTTCCCCTCGCTACGCTTAGTCCCGACATCAACAAGAAGACGATGTTACGCGATTCTAAATGCGTTGCCATCACTAGCCACCATAGTTACGATAGCGCCAGCGATGGCTTTACGTACGAGGTCAAACAAAGCGCTTCATATTGTTATTCGCGTATTACAATCTCCTATATACCAATCGTTTATGCCATGTTCACAATTGTCGTGCATCGGATGGTGAAGGATCGGAGAATCCTTGCGAAAAGATCGGAAGCTTATTGATAACCGCACCAAACTGACTTCGCCTTCTAATGCGCATTCCGGTTGAAGAGAGCCAAATTAATCATGCGCACGTAATGCGTTTCGCAACTTTTCCGATTTTCCAAGATACCAAGCATGATGGATCGGGTCTCAAAGAACTCTTCTCAATCCTGATTAGTCACGACAGTGACAGGCTTGGGATTGATGTGCCGTTGGTTTCTTCGTCATGGGCAACACCGGTTGCAACACGATATCATCGTCAGCTGTTTGTGTTTTTTATCATTTTTGAATGTGTGTGATAACCGCTGACTTCGAAAAGCGAATCAATGAGACTTCATTTTCTACTGACCCTTGGTTAAGGATGGCTTCCTACTCGCAGTACCTCACCAAAGAGAAAGAAGATGAACTTCGCGGCATCGCCAACGCTATTGTGGCCCCCGGCAAGGGAATTCTCGGTAAGTATCAGGTCCTCTGGGCTTACCCATCATTTATCGCAACCTTCTACAGCTGCTGATGAATCCACTGGAAGTATGGATAAGAAAATGAAGAACATTGGCACAGAGAACACTGAAGAACAGCGTCGAAAATACAGACAGGTAGGCTCGCTGTAATCCTCGAATGATACCACCATACTCAAGATGATTGATAAACTTTCAGCTTTTGTTTACTGCAAGCCCCGAAATGAGCAAGCACATTTCTGGTGTAATCATGTTCCACGAGACTTTCTATCAAAAATGCGATGATGGGACGCGTTTCGTTTGATGCGCTGAAGAAGCAAGGCATTATACCGGGAATTAAGGTAAGTTAATCGTTTCTGAACCCACGTCAAAACGGAAAACAAGTACTCTGAGGCAGAGGGCAGAAGGTGAACTCGAGAGGATATCCGTTTTCGAGGGAAGGCAACGTTCATGCACGTGAGAAGCAAGTCATTCCCTGCGTCTTTTCGATCAGCACCAACTGAATTGGATGGCAGCTTGAACTGACTCCTCCGAACACGTCACACGGAAACCACGCGTACGATTTCTGGCTCCATGCGTTTTCTCGAAGAAACCGTTCCGTTCATATGCCAGCGTTGAAAGCAGAACGTGATCATTTTTAGTGGAGAAATCTCCAACCTGGGTGCAAGTGGAGGAGGGGGGGGGGATGTTGCAGCCGCGCCGGTCTTTCCCCGTTTCGGTCACTGTCTGAAACGTATTGTCTCTCCTTGGATTCTTGTTTTCTCCTCTCGGCGGCCCGTTATCTCTTATCTCAATGTCGGCTTCTTACCATGAAAGCTTTTCAACTTCCCATGATACTTTGGGTAGACCTAAGTAAATCGATGTAGTAAAGATTGCTTGTCACAAATATGGAGATCAAAAGTGCTATTCGCAAGTTGTGGACAATTCAAATTGAAATAATACAGGAAAAAGTAAGGTCTATGCCAGCAGGTTACCCATTTACCTGTATAGGCAACGTTTGGGAAAAACGGGAAAAAGGTGATAAGGATGGGTTAGCTCGTCTCATGCATTGACTCTGCATTCCCTTCCAAGGGCGTCACCTTACGGCTCATCACCGTATTGAAAGTTCTGATAGAAGTTTTGGTCTCCATACGATAACCAACATTCTTGATTGAACCTACGCAGCTCTTCACTCAAAGTCCTCTGGGAAGCTGAAAGCTATTCCTGGTTAGACTTTCCCGCACCGAAAACAAAGAAAATCATCCTACTATATATAATCGGCTAAGCGGTTGTGTGTGTGTGTGTCTGACCGGAAATTCATAACTTCCCTCCCTTTGGACCCAGAGCGCTCAAACTTCTAGGATATATGGGGGGCTGGACACAAACACTGATGATGGGTGGCGGGAAGTGATAACTACTGATAGGAACTGATAACGGACGCCGAAATGATGATGTCATCGTTACGCCGTTTGCGTTGACGGTGGACAGTTTGCACTCATGCATGATATGTGGGGTGAGGCGGGGACCAAGAAGTTGAGTGAACGAATGTGGTAGCAACTGATAAGAACTGATAAGGGGCGTCAAAGTGTGGATACCACCAGTTTCGTTGCGGCCCTCGCAGTTACATTGGAGCCTTGGCTCTCACATGTGGTATAGGGGATGGGACGGGAACACGGATAGTGGATGATCAGAAGTGATAACAAGCGATAACGGTTGATAAGGAAGTTAGGATTTTGAGTACCGCTAATTTCGTTGTAGCCTTCGTGTTGACAATAAATCACGAGCTCCTGCACGTTGCCTGGAGGGTGGGATGGGGACACCGATTGCGAGCAGTATGAACTGATAACAAATGACCAGGGAATGATATGAGCGTCTGAATGCAGGTCTCTCCAACTTTGTTATAATTATCACTGGCAAGCGATTAAGGTGGCGAGGTTGAAATTAGGCGACAGAAAGTGGTATGAGCGGCAACTGTACTGATAAAAGTAGCGAAAATTGAGCGTGCACTCAGCTGAACCCTAGCAACGTGAATATGTCCCATTCCTATCTTTTCATTCAAAGAAGCTAAGAAGCTAAGAAAGTTGGGCTGCTCAACTATCTGCACTTGGACTAACAGCGAATTTCCATTATATTTGCAATTTCCATCATAGCTCGATTGGATCCTGATTGATTGATTATATTTCACTTAAATTAAGATTCTTCAGTTGTGGAAATTCAATAGACCGCTAAATCATCCGAGCTCGATATCTATGCTGGATGTTTACGAATTCATGATAAGTACTATTTTCATTCCGCAGGCTACTGCGCGCATTACGCGACAACCTCCAGCGAAATTGGACAACCTTTGAACTTCATGGGAAACACCACGTAACCTAATATTATAACAAGTCTGTCCAGTCTCAGCTGACAGCCCTCAATGTGATGCGCGCGGTTGCGTGCGGAGCTAAGCTGGTCTGGTGCTGGTGCTGGTGTATATGGAACCAGACAGCACCGCACGCCAATTCGTGCTCCACAGCCTATGGCACGCAAACCATAGAATACCCCACAGCGCTTTCGCATCCGGACTGCATCGGCCATAGCCTAACGCTAACAAGGGAGGTCTTTCAGGATATGGAGCGCTTCTTCGAATGGTTTTCTGTGTTGTAGGGGTTCATGCGAGGAACACAAAACCATGAGCCATTTTCCAGAACTCTTCCAGGACTGCCAGAACAGGGGTGAAGAAACGTACCAGAGTTCGATCTCCGGTCATGACTAATTTTTGCAGTATAGTTTTGCGCCCCCAGGAATTTGCAGCCAAATAGCGCCATCATCGAGAACAGATGTAACTCTTCATGTTATGCGGCAATTTGGAAGGCGCCAATATAAACTGAAAATTTTTTTTTCATCAGAGAGTATCGTACTTTGAAGCATTTCTTCCCCGCTGCTATTGACTTTCCCGGGACCTCCAGGGAAATGGACCATGGTTCTGTGCTGCTTCACATGAGCCTCTACAATACCCAAAAAACCATTTTGAAATAAAAAACGCTCCATGTCCTGAAAGACCCCCCGTCTCCAAGAGAGACAACCTAACATTGAGAAAGCAGGGTGATGTAACAGAGCGAGGAGGTGACGCCGAATTAGTAGTAAGTAGCAAAAAAAAGCAAAAAGAGAACCAGGAAAATGAGATGAATTTCAATACGGAAAGCCGTGTCATGATGCCATTGCGAAACGGTGATTTTAGGTTGACAAAGGTGTTGTGCCCATGGCCGGTACTGTTGGAGAAGGTACCACTCAAGGAATGGACGATCTCAATGCTCGATGTGCTCAATATAAGAAGGTAGCAATGTTTTATCCTTTTTTACTTTACATATTATGGTGAAGTGTTCAAAGTGAGAAATTTAGAGCGCTAAAGTGATCACACTACGTTTTCTCGATGGACATCCTTAGAAAATCGGAAATCGGGGTGGGGCATGTGATGTTGGATAAGACAGTAGATTCCAACAACGACGTGTCTGCGGTTGTGGGTACTATCGGCTTTTGCCTTCCCCTGTGGAGCATGTCCTAGTCCCATTTGCCGCAATGCCGCTATGCATCTATAGCACCAAAAAGCACGGGCGAAATCGAGTGATTGTATCGAGTGAACAGAATGTCAATGGGAGCTCGCAGTAACGACAGGTCAGGCATTATGGAATACGTGTCGATTAGTCCGCGTTCAATGGTCAGTGTTCTAGATATTTGCTTACAAAAACTTAAATATTCGTAGAGGGGCTTCTTTAGCTCTCGAGACTGCGACCGCTATCTGGACTCGGTGTCGGGCATCGTAGGAAGCAGATTAGGGAATAAACGACGTATGCTCGCAGTCACGTAGGACAGTTTGGAACATGAAGGCAGCATTTCCAATAACTGTAAGCTCATGCTGTGTTCCCATTTCGTATCCGTTGGGCAGCGAATTCTCCCATAGACTTCCTCGTACCAAGTGGACGACCTCCAAACATAATCTTTTACTAGTTGCGCCTACATGAGTGATAGGCTGACAGTTGATAAATAATAGCCGTAATTAGGGTCAATTGATTGAATACAATCGGACAGGGTAATCATTTCTTGGCAAAAGGTTGTTACGTCTTGTGAAGTCGTCGTCACTTTTGCTATGAAGTCTGGAGTGGATACGCAATCATGCCTAGCGATCCCACTTAGGGCATGGTGCCGGTGAGTTACCTCTCAGACCAATCCCAAGACATGGCCGAAGGCTTGTGTATAGAACCTCGGGTTGAGTGGTTGGTTTTGAGCTGACCCAGATCGTCCAATTCACATCTAGTGCCTTTCATTGTCCAGCATTTCGACTTGTTTGTCATTAACCTTCCACGCCGATCAGTTGTCTTCATTTCGCCTCCCAAAATAAGGGCGTTAGTCGGTTCACTCTGTCTACGACTTTTCTGGCACCTCAACTAAGCTCAACACATGGCGGCTCTAGTTGAGATAGCAGAGGTATGCTTTGAGAAATTGTATTTCAGGTACCTCACATAGACCTGCCTAGGGTGAAATAGCCATGGAAGAAAGCCTCTAGCTCACATCTCATTAAATTGTGCTACCTGATTTAGGTGCTCGCACGTTACGCCTCTATCTGTCAGCAAAATGGCCTGGTACCAATCGTCGAGCCAGAGATTCTTCCGGACGGCGAGCATGACATAGACAGATGCCGAAAGATCACCGAGACCGTTCTGTCTTACTGCTACAGGTAACGATTCGAGTTGTTTAAAGGTAAACCACAACATACATAGAGTATCGATTTTACGCGCCATACAGAGCCCTCAACGACCACCACGTCTACCTTGAAGGAACTCTACTGAAGCCGAACATGGTAACTGCTGGTGAGTGAGCCATCGAATGTAGACGAGGTCATCATTCTTGATTTTTACTCAAATCTGAGCTTTCCAGGGCAGGCCTTCAAGGGCAAAAAACCATCGCACGATGAAATCGCGCTTGCAACCATAACTGCTCTTCAACGTTCTGTTCCAGCTGCTGTTCCTGGAGTGGTGTTCCTTTCGGGAGGGCAGTCTGAGGAGGACGCCACCCTTAACTTGAATGCTATGAATAAGGTGAGTTTCGAACAGCATTTGGGATATACGCCAAGAAGCTGTTGGTCGTTTGAGAACCGACCTGGCGGCGGATTTCAGTAAATGAGAGCAGGCATGGTGAAATGGGCTCTCGTATCATGATGCAATCTCGATCTCTTTGTCCTTAGAAAAACAAGTATCAGAAGCAGACGAGAGTATCGCCTTAGTATTGGTGGTCCTGGGATATAGCGTGCTTGAGAACAAATTGATTGGCTTCAGCTAGATACGAAGAAACCATGGGCACTAACATTCTCATATGGTCGAGCTCTACAAGCATCATGCATGTCGAAGTGGTCAGGAAAGGACGAGAACGTCAAAGATGCTCAGGTGAATTGGCCTTTTCTGTTGATTGCCCTCGACGGCTAGCAGTCACACGACATTTTTTCAACCCAAAAATCATTCAAAATGACAGTCAACTTCAGGCGGTGTTCATGCAGAGAGCGCAGGCGAATTCACTGGCCGCCCTTGGCAAATACTCTGGCGATCCGAATGCCGACAAGGCTGCTTCACAGTCTCTATTTGTGGCTAATCATGCCTATTGATCTCGTGACATTTAGGAAAACACAGCAAATTCTCGACGTGTTTGATGATGTATTTGTGAATAGCAAGTAGTAGTGAAGTGTAAATGAAGATTGTCGTCGTGTTGTCTTATCCGAAAAGTAATATTAAAATAGTTTAAAATACTTGTTTGACGCGTTATGCATATCCAACCAATCAGCGCTGGCCGAAAGAGATGAAGATGCGAGAGTGAGGACGAGTCAATGCTGACGATTCTTCGAAGAAGGTCGAGATCGGCTCCAGTGAAAGGAATTTGAGTGGGAATCCAGTGGATTCTCGAAAGCAGGGAGTGGGATCTCAATGGGGTTGAAGAGTTTTTGAGAATTACTTCAAGACTTTCGAAACGCTATCGCGGAAATTTTAAGATGTTAGAAATGGAAATTTTTTCCTTTTCTCCATTTAGTGCGCCCCACCTATCCCTCCCATCCCCGATCAACAAACACTTTGAGTAAAGTCACTTGAAGTTCGTGGACAAAGATGGGAGAGAGATGGAGAGAGAGGATCCAGAGGGTTTATCGAAGTAGAATGGGAGAGAATCTAGTCAGGGAACTTATCGTGAAACCCAGCTAGGGATTCTATAAGCGCATGAGATGGTGGTCCCAAATTTCTCAAGAT